GATATTGATTATTCCCAAATCGATAATGTAGCCGATGAAGCCAAAGAAAAATTAACTAAAATAAAACCAGTTTCATTGGGACAAGCCAGACGAATAGGAGGAATTAACCCGACTGATATCCAAATGTTAAGTTATTATTTAAATAAAAATTATCCGCCGGAAAATTAAGTGGAGAGTATAAATATAAAAATCACTATATAGGCAAAGTTCTGTAAAATAAAATTAAGATTGTAAGGTTGAGAAAAAAGTTTAATCACTAAACAAATTAAAACTAATTATAAATTAAAAACATTAAAAAATGTTGAGAGGCGGATCCCCAAAAAAGACCTGGTGCTGAGGAGTTAGAAGGGATTATTGGGGGTTGGATATACTATAGTGGAAGAGTTAAAGAGGACACTCCTTTCTATCAGCAATACCAATCCCTAGCCGAAGAATACAACCAATTCTCCCAAAACACTCCTTACCAAATCCATCCGACTGCCATTACCCATAGTAAAGCCATCAATACTAAACAAATTGTTCAATTACTCCAAGATCCTACTAAACAACAGGAGGCTTTAGAACGAGAAATAAAAAAAATAGAAACAGAAATAAATAAATCATTTACTGATGAACAAAAAGAATTGGTAAAAGAGTTTATTCAGGCTAGAAAAAAAATGAAAAGAGATAATAGTGATAAAAATGCTAGAAGGGAAGCAGGAAAATTAGAAGAACAATTAGAAGAAAAAGGGCTTTCTGATGAAAATATAGAAAAAATCATTAAGTATTGTGAAAGATTTATCAAAGTAGAACAAAAATTAGAAACAAATATTGAAATATCTACTAGCAAATAAATATTATGGTAATAATTAATCAAAACGAATTTAACAACAAATATTCCAAAGAAGTAAAAGAAATAAGAATTAAAAATAAAGATTTTCAAGGACATCTGATCATCGAAGACTATCTGAATTTAGAAAAATTATACTTACGAGATATTGACAATATAGAAAAAATAACTCTCAAAAACCTGCCTCAATTAAAATTATGTACTATTCGGGATTGTGGGACCAAGGATTTGGTTATTGAAAACTGTCTCCAAATAAACAATTTAAATATCGAAAACAATCTTTTAACTAATTTAGAATTTATAAAAGATTTAGAAAATTTAGAAGAGTTAGAATTGGATGGCAACGATAAATTGAGTGAAATTCTAGAACTTTATGAGGACGATTGAAAGGCTTATCAAAAAGATTTGCAAAAATCAAACCAAGATACTAACACTTTAGAGTTACTAGAAAATATTCAGGCTTTAAAAAAAGAAAATGAATTTTTAAGTATTAAATATGATGAATTAAAGAAATTTTTAAAAGGAATTCTAGTCTCACTTTCCTCGGAAGAAAAGAAAGGATTATCAGTTGAGTTAAATAAAAAAATCAACAGAAAAGACAGTATCTCAGCTCCAGGAAAGACTAAACAATTGATGTTAAATGCTGAAAAAGTTGTTAAAAGTTGAAAAGAAATAAGAAAAGAATTAGAAAGTGAACTGGCTGAGTCAAAAGAAAAGATTGAAGAGTTAGAAAAAGAATTGAAAGAAAAAGTTGCTCTCCAACAAGAAACGAAAAAGGAATTGAAAGTTCAAAAGACCACAACTGAAGCATTACTAAAGCAATTAGTGGCAAAAACTATTGAAAAGGAAAAAGCATCTAATGAAAACGAAGCCAATGATCTACAAAAAGAAATTAACGATTTAAGGCAAAAGTTAAAGGTTTCTGAGAAAGAAGTAGCAAAGTTAGAAGGAAAATTAGAGGCTAAACAAGAAGAAATTGAACGGATTAGCAAAACCATAGAAAAAGCCATAGATACTCCAAAGTTCAAAATATACAACACACTGTAATTGGCAGTCAAAGTATTAATACTTATAATATCCAATATAATACCCAATATCAACAGTTAGAAACTGAAACTGAAAAACAAATCACTGAATCCTTAACTGATAAAGAAGTCACCCCTGAAGAACAAAAAGTAATCAATAAAACCATCCTTTTTTTAGGAACTAAAGAATTATTTATTAATCATCGACAAGCAACTGTTAATAGTCTAATTGATTGCTACAACAAACTAGAAAAAAGGCTAGGAAATAAACTCAATAAATTTACTACGGCAGTTAGCATGACCAACATTGCGAGTAAATTAGCCAATATTATTCCGGGAGGAGGGGTGGTTGAGGCTCCAATAGGAATTTTGGGAGATACCATTAATTTAACTGGAAATATCATTAAAGAAAAAGATTTAGTAAAGTTTACTAAGCAATTCCAAGAAATCTTAGCCAAGGATAAAACAAGCCTTTCTTTATTTGATGGAAACTATATATCTCTAACTAATATTATTTGAGGTGATAATGAAGTAAGCCAAAAAGAAATAGTTTCTACTATTATTAAAATTCTAGACTTGAAGAAGAGTGAACAAAATCCTTTTAGTGATGATTATGACACTTTTAGTCACAGTGTTTGTGGAACTTGAAAAGGAAGGCATTCAGTAGATTTAGGAGAAATGAAAAACTCAATTGAAGAAGTTATTAAGAATTTCCAGGAATTAAAACAAAAACTGCAAGATCAAAAGGAACAATTGAGTAAGCAAACTTGATTTATTGCTGTAAAAGAAAAAACTGATTTATTGCAAGAACAACAGGCTCAAATCCAAATTCTCCCTAAATAAAAAAAGGAATTGCCTCCCTTTATCAGTACTTCTGAACCAATTATTATATTGCTTTACAAACAATTATTTAATAATCTCGACAATGTCTAAAATTTTCTGGTTAAATCCTTTTGATTATTAAGTAGATCAATGGCTTCCTCACTAACTTTTTTTAAATACCCTTTCAGTATTAGGGGAGGGATAAAAATAGTCATATGAGACATGTTTTATTAAAATAAGGTAAAGTAAGTATAAAATATATTTATGAAAGATAGTAGTAAATATATTAATAATTTTAGTGAATACAATCAAGCACTTCAATTCCTAGAAAAAGGTTGTAAGTGTGGTTGCTCT